GAGAGGAGGCCCTGCAGAGGCAAGGTCAGTGACGTTGTGCACCCTGCAGGCCTCTTTGACAGGTTGACAAAAAGACCTTTTCCATAAAGTGGAAAAGGCTCACCTACACGCCCGGTGGGTGTGTTGAAGCCCCTCTGGAAGCCGCCGGCAGTCACAGCCCCAGGTCATCACAGCTGGTTAAGACCTGCTTGTGAGGATCCACATGTGAGGATCCATGTTACCTGCTCTCCCTCCAGTGTCCCCCAGCCGTGGACAGTGCCTGCTTCATACTTAATAACTGTTTTGCATGAAGGATGCCTGGATGGAATCGGAGGACTTCTATGGAGACACATGGAGGTAGGGAAAGTCCTGTTAGATTGTCACAATGTGACTAAACTGAAATTCCTCTGTTGAGTTTCCACTCCCCACAAGGGCTGACCTTGGCTTTTGGTGATTCACTTGGTCTCTTGCAGGAGTCAGTGCTTGTACTGCCATGAGTGATTGATGGGAAGTCAAAAGCTTTAAACGCCAGTGGCTCACTCCATCTGCAGGCAGCTGTGAGGTGTGTGTTCTCCTGTTTTATGGGCAGAGCAGACCTGCGGCTTAGGATGTTCATGGGCTGGCCAGAAGGGAGCAGGGATGGTAATGCTGGCTTACGTCTCTGGTGTGCACTGAGGTTCCTGAGCCACTGTCATTTGTAGACTAAAGATCTTGGAGTTGCCTTTGAAGTAGACACATCCAGGCGGTGGCCTGCTGGAGGCCACATTAGCAACCCTGCCTGCACTGGCCTCCCCTCCTCCCTCCCCAGCAAGGCTGCCCCTCCCCCGACCGTCCCCAGCAGAAGCCCTGCCCTCTTCCCACCCGCCCAGGACACCTGGAAATCACCTTGGACTGCTTCTTCCCTCTCTGCTATCTTAGCTGTTACGTCCTGATGACTTTACTCTGTGACATTTAAAAAATATATATCATTTAAAAAAATTAGAAATTGTGTAGAGTGGCATGCACAGATCTTAGGGCTGAATTTCATTGTGTTTGGAAAAAAGCACAGAGCTGTGGAACCAGCACCTCCATCCAGATATGGAACCATCTCCCAGTGCAGGAAATGCTCTGCGCTGTTTCCCAGGCAAATGCTCCCCCTGCCCTAGACGCAGAATAAGCACCGATCTGTTTCCTACCACCTGGTTTTATGGTGATAAACACGTTGTTCACTCCAAGAGTGAGCAGCTTCCCCAAATCCAGCCCCTGTTAGCAGCTAAAGAGATCTTTAAAAAATGTGAAACAGATCGTGCCTTGGAGTCCTGCAGCAGCTTCCCAGAGTCCCCCGATAAACCCTGAGACTCTCAGGTCCTCAAGGCCTGAAGGATCTGTCCTTGGCCTTGACCTCCCTGTGCTCCCTCTGGAATTACCATCAATGCTCCAAGTTCTCTGGACGCTGCTCTGCCAGCCCCGGGCTCTGCCAGCGCTCTCCCTTCTCCCATCAGACACTACCTCCCTGTGTAGCCCCATGCACCCCATCCCCTGAGGGACATGGCCCTTCTTCTGTGAACTAGGAGGCAGGATTGTGTCCTGCTCCCAGGGACCCGCTCAGACACCCTCGGATAGTAGCCGAGGGAAGGAGCCCTAAGCACCGGGTCAGGATCCCCGAGGAAGTGCATGGTGTCATCCAAGTGCAGATGCTCCAGGAAGCACTGGTGTCCCTGGCACGATGGCCCACAGGTGTCCCGCAGTGCTCCAAGGCACAGGGTGGGGACTGTGGGAGCACCTCCGCCTCCACCTCTCCCCAGATGCCAGCGGAGGAAGCTCGGGCTCTTCCTGTGTTTCTGTCTGTCTGTCAATCATCTATCTCCTTATGGAAATCCGCGATACTGATTCATGTGTGTTTTCCATTTGCACCAACCGCTCATGGGCTGCGACCCACTCTGCCCTGCTCTCCCGGCACGGGGTTCCCCTGCATGCAGGGTGGAGTAGGCGCCTTGGGTATCCGACTCCTGGCTGCTCCTTGCCCGAGTCTCTTTGCAGAGGGCACCTGCTCTGCTTTGCTCGGGCTTTCCCCTCTGGATGGCCACCCAGGCCACCTCTAGGTCCCCACTGCCACGAGTGATGGACTAGTGAATGTTCTGTGCATTCCATCTCATGGACCTCTGCAGGTTCCCCGTGGTATGTATCAGAGGTGGATTCGGGGCCTAGAGCAGATGGATGTTCAGCTGGGTCACCGTGAGGTGACTACACCTGACAAATGGCACCTAATAAATGCTCAATTCATGGTCACTGTCCTCTCTTACCAGTGCACAGGGGTCCCCTTTCCTTGTGTTCTCACCGACACTTATCATCGTTCAGATTTCTGCCTTTGGTAATTTGGTGATATGCAGAAGCCTGCCATTGGCCAGCCTTTCTCTGAACACTGAGAGTCCAGGGCGCTTCTCCCTCCCAGGTACCAGTCAGGCCTCCCTTTCTGTGATTGCCCTTCTTCTTCTCTCCCCACCTTTCGAGCAGCACCCTGTTTTTCTTGCTCACTTTCGGAGTTCCTTCATGTTGCAGGCACTAACCCCTGATCAGTGTGAGCTGTTAGGAACGACTCCCCGGCTCTGTCGTGCGCAGGGCCTTTGCTCACGCCGATCCTCACTGGGCAGACTTCCTTCCTTCTGAAAATCGAACACCTCGTTTTTGTCCTTATTATTTGTGTTTTCGGGATCTTGCCCTTCTCTAGCCTGGCTCCCCTACACGCCCCCCGGCACTGTGCATTGTCTCCTGTTGGATTTTTCGTCTTACTCTTCACACGTGGGCCTTGAATACACCTGGAATCATCGTATGCATATCCATTTGTACCCTCCTCCTTTTTGAGTTTGGAAGCTTTCACTTACACAGAACATCTGACCTATGAACAGGAAGGAGGAGGGACCTGGATGTTTTTCCGGACTCTGCTGCTGGACTTCTGACCTGCCAGCTTGTGACACATCCCCACGGACCCCCAACCCCGGGAACAAACCGACCCTCAGTTGGCACTTGTGCTAATTGGGGCGACTTTGAAAGCGTTGAGAAGCAACCGGATGGCAAAGATCAGGTTTTCAGAGGAAGGAAACTCTGGCCACACGGTGAGGTGAGTACACATGACAAATGGCACCTAATAAATGCTCAATTCACGGTCACTGTCCTCTCTCCAACCTCTTCCTTGTCAGGTAATCCAGCTGTGCAGGCTGAGATAGGAGCATTTGCAGAATTTATGGAACTGAGCATAAAACTGGGGCCCAGGCCTGTGGAGTCTTAAGCGACCCCACGGGAAACACTGCACTGTGTCACTATTCAGGGCAGCCGTGGCGGGCTGTGCCCGGCCAGATCTGAGTTCTGTGCAGTGGAGGTCAGTTCAGCTGCAGCTGGAGGCCTCTCTGGGAGAGGTACATAGATAAATTTGAGGATTTCAAGGAACTCAGTATCCACAGGGGCCCCATGAGGGATGCAGAGGGATGATTCCCTGGCCTGTGATGATTTGAGATGGGGCAGCCTGTGGCCTGGCCCAGGGCTCCTTTCTCCCTGGTCTGGAAGGTAAAGATGAGAGGCTCTGCCGTTTCCCAGCCTGACCTTGGGTCTGTCCCATGGACTGACAGGGGTCGGGTCTGCCTTACTAACACCAAGCCCAGCAGGACCAGAGGCAGGACCAAATCAATCACCTGGGCAGACCCGACCCCCAGTCACCTCCTCGCACTGAGGGGCTGGGCGTGACGGGTACACAGCAAGTGCTCTATAAGCGCTGGTGATGAAGAGGCTGTCGGTGCTGGTGGGAAATGAAGCGGCCGTTTGGGTCTGGAGGTACTGCAAGACTCTTCACCTGCCCGCCCCCAAGGGCCTCAGACAGTAGTGGTCAGCCCCACGTGAGGGGCGTGGAACTGCCCTGGGACAGTGCAGGGTGCTTCTCTCAGGCCGGCTGCAGTGCTGGGGCCGGCTTCGGTCCCCCTGCTGGCAGCAGAGCCTTGGGGCTGCACTGGGCTTGGTGTTAGTAAGGCAGACGAGAACGGGGCTCGGAGGAGCTGCCGGAGACGGCCCCTGGGGAGGCTCCGTGGCTCTTTCTCAGAGGATCCTGCCGGAGTCTCGCCCTCTCCAGGCGGCCTCACCAGGTGATGTCACCGGCTGTCTGGGCAGCAGGGAGCCCTGGTGGGCATTGGAGCAGGGAGCCTCACCCTCTTTAGGCAGATGCTGCTGGCTGTTGCTCTGCGCAGCACCCTTAGCGTCCTGATCTTTCATGTCACCTCCCTCCTTCAGGCTCCTGCCATCTTCCTTGCTCACACTGTTCCAGCCATTTCAGCCTCTGCTGTTCCTTCACAGGCCACCTCAGGGCCTTTGCACGTCTGTTTCTCTGGCCTGGACTTTGTCACTCCCTGTGAGGACTGCTCTGCTCCCTCACTGCACTCACATCTCTGCTCCTTGCCACCTCCTTCGAGTGGCTTTCCTGGGCCACCCCTTCTCAAGTGGCACTTCTGTCTCCATTGCCTCCCTTTGGCTCAGGACTTGTAACACAGCTTTGTTCCTACTCCATCCCCACGGCCTGAAGCGCAGGGGCTCGGTAGATATCTGCTGAATTAATAAGTGAGTGATGTGTAGACGCTCCACCTGCCCAGGAGGACTGCTACCTCAGTTCTAAGTATACGAGCATTTTCTACCAATCACTGACGCCCTTGGGATGGTGGCCCATTAGCTATGTTTAGGCCGATGCACGGCAGGGTCGCAGTGTGCACTGCCCTTATCATGTCCAGCCCAGGGATGGGCACGTTGCAAACATGAGAGGTAAGTGGTGGGCTCGAGAGTCCATCTAGGTTTCCCCGCACGCCCTCAGCAGGGAGTGGCCCCGCCTTCCCAGGCCACCCCAGCCAGGAGGGCCAGCTTGAGAAGGACAGGGGAGACGGGAATTCCAGGCCACAGTTTCTTCCTTGGGATACCAGCAGGAGCAGGAGAGAGCCACCTGTGCCCTTGACCACCCCTCCCAGGCTGAGAGTCAGATGGGCTCCCAGGCCCGAGCCTCTGTAACCAACCTGGATGAACGGGAAGAGCAGCCCGACGGCGAAGTTGGAGAGCCAGTTGACAGTGCCCGCCATGATGAAGGCAGCTGGCCGCTGCGATTGCTGGAAGAACTCGCCAGTCAAGATGAACGGGATGCCCCCTGCAACGTCAGAGGCAGGACCGGATCAATCACCTGAGCAGGCAGACCCCCAGTTTCCTCCCCAGGGCAGGCTGCAGGACCACCCACGCCCCAGGGGCTGCTCTCTTAGCAAGCCAGCCCTGCCCTGGTGGGTGGCCTTAGGAGGGGTGCTGCAGCGAGGCGATCCCTGGTACGGAAGCTCTGACGCCCACAGACCTTCCTCTGACCATCCAAGTGAGAGACCCACCATCCTCTCGGCTCTCTGAATGCCCTCTCAGTCAAGCCACGGTCCATCAGAAATGGAGAACTACGGGTGTAAGTCTGATACACAGAACACGACCGACTATCACTGAGTCCAGGTGCTCCTTAACAAAGGGTTTTTTATGTCCCAATAAACCCATTGTAAGCTGAAGGCAGCACCGGTCAAAAATGCATTTTGCACACCCGAACTACCAAGTATGGTGGCTTAGGGTAGTCTGCCTCAAAAGCGCTCAGAACTCTTGCATTAGCACACAGTCAGGCATGTGGAGAGAATACCACACTGCATATTGCTAGACCAGGAAAAGATCAAAATTTAAAGTACAGTTTCTACTGAGTACATATCGTTTTCATACATCAAAAAGTCAAACCCTGGTAGGTTGGGGACCATCTGTTTATTGTGTCAGGATGTTTCCAATTTAATCTTCAGAATAACTTAGGCAGGAATTGGCTGCCATACCCCTGGGTGAAAACACTGAAGCCCAGAGATGTCACTAGATTTGCCCCAGGTCACCCAGTTCCCAGGTAGCTGAGTCAGAACACAGGCTTGAGACCCTGGCCTCCAAGTCTCGGGTTTCCACCTGCCAATTCCTACCTGAGCGAGGAGCGACGCCCCCGCCCAGCTTGGTTCCTGTTTGTGCTCCTTAACTTCTTTGACTGGGGGTGAGGTGGTCCCCTGTTCCTGAGTGGCCCTGTAGCTCAGTGTTACTCGATGGCGACATCATTGACACTAAAGGTGGGACAATTCCTTATTTCCAGAGACTGTCCGTGCAGGATGTTCACCACCTCTCCAATACCACGGCAACCTAAGCCACCTGCATGCACGCCATTTGCCGTCCTGGGTTGGACCCTCCCCAACGGCACCTCCTGCTCCGTGGATCTGGGGTCCTGTTTGTACCCCTGGGCCCCCAGTTGGAGTTGCCACTCTGCCAATCAGATCTGCACCTTGGCGCTCCTCAGACAAGGCAGGGTGGGTGGCGGAAGGGGTCCCCCGAGGGACCTTTACCAAGCTCTAGGGGACACAGCTCAGAAATCCCTGGGCTGGACTCTGGGCTTCTGTCAGCTCTCCGTGCTTGTTTCTGGTTGGGGAGCTGGGTCAAGAGCAGCAAGGCCCCTCCCTTGGTGGACTCCCTCGTGGAGGAGGGGGCAGAGTGGTTTGTTTCTTGTCAGGAATAGAGAGAATGAATAAGTGCGAAGTGCGATGTGCCCCCTGGAGGAGGTGCCCGGCCCTGGGAGGTGACCTTGGACACGTGAAGATCCATGGAGGTCTCGCCAGGTGGAGGGGTGGGAGGGAGAGGCCCTGGGGTGAAAAAATGGGGCCACGTCCAGGCCTGGGTGGATCTGCCTGGACACCTGAAGGAAGTGGACAGGAACAGGCTGAAGTGGCCCAGGTGAGCCAGGCCAGGGAGCAGCTTCCTGTAGACCCAGGAGAGGGCTTTGCTCTTGGAGGAAACCATTGAGGGCTTCCACCTGGGGCGGAGGTGCTCTGTGCATTTCGTGGAGATCTCTGCTCTTTGGGGAAAGGGGAGGGTGTACAGGTGGAGCTTAGCTATGGTTTTTGTAGGAGGGAGGGGATGGCGGCCGTGGAGGCAGAGCAAGGGGCCAGATTCAGAGACTCATCAGCCCGTGGAGGCAAAGCTTCCTGTGTGAGCACCGCACTCAACCACGGGCACCCACCTAGCACCCAGAGCCACAGAGCCAGGAGCAGCGCAGGCTGGCCCCTGTCCAGGGCTTTTGCTCTGTCCTGCAAGTCACAGGTGATCCAGGTGAAGCATCACCCCATCACCCATTAACCGTGAGACCCCTGGGCCAGCACCAACTCCACTGCCTGGCATGTTTGATAGGCGTCAGATATACCATCAATATTTACTAAATGTTCACGATTCGGACTATCGGCTATGCAGTTTGCCACGTAGAAAGCGAACTCCATATCTTAAAGATATCTATCAAACCTGTCCTGAGCAAGAAGAGCGATGTGGGGGGCATCACGACACCTGCTCTCACATTATACCATGAAGCTGTAGTGGCCAAACAGCATGGCGTTGGCATCAAATGGAGATGAAGACTAATGGAATAGAGTAGAAGACACGGAGACAAACCCACACACTTACAGCCTCAGATACTTGACAAAAGTCCCCAAAATAGATGTTGAAGAAAAGACAGCCTTTTAAACAAATGGCGCTGGGAAAACTGGAAATCTATGTGTAGAAGAGTGAAACTAGATCCCTCTTTCTCACCCTGCACTGAAGTCAAATCAAAATGGATCAAAGATCTGGGAATTAGAAACTGTGCAGGGTTGGAAGAAAACCAGGTCAACACTCCAGCACATAGGTGCAGCACCTCTTCCACAACAAGACCCCAAGGCTCAAGAAGTAAAACCAGGAATCAATACATGGGATTCCATCCAGTGAAAATGCTTCTGCCCAGCAAAGGAGACAGTGAGGAGTGTGAAGGCCAAGCCTAGGAATGTGGGAAACCTTGGCCAGCTACCCCTCCGATCAACAGCCAGGACACATAAGGAACTCAGAAATGTTAAAACACACACACACACACACACACACACACACACACACAGAACAAAACCCAAAATAACACAACTCAATCACTAAATGGGCTAAAGAACCAAACAGACATTTCTAAAAGAAGAAACACAATTGTCCAACAAATACATAAAAATAAGTGCTCATCATGTCTAGCAATCAGGGAAATGCAAACCAAAACTACCCTAAGATTTTTGTCTCACTCCCGTCAGAATGGCAGTTGTCAAGAATACAAATAATAAATGTTAATGAGGATGTGGGGACAACAGTACACTCCTATGTCATTGGTGGGACTGCAGACTAGTACAGCCAGTCTGGAAAGCAGTAAAGATTCCTCAGAGGACAGGAATAGAACCACCATATGACCCAGCTACCCCCTCCTCAGTGTTTAGCCAAAAGAACTAAACTCAGCGTCCTATAGCGCTACAGCCACTTCAGTGCTCACAGCAGCACGATTCACAGTAGCCTAACTACGCTCCAGACAGGGTCCTGTCAGGAGATGAATGGACGAAGAGGATGTGGTAGATACACCGTGGAGTTCACCCAGCCAGAGAGAAGAATGAAATCATGACGTTTGCTGGCAAATGAATGGAAACAGAGAACATCAGACTCAGAAAATCCGGGGTCAATCATTTCCTTTCACACGCGGAAGCTAGAGAAAGGGAAAGAAGCCAGGAGGGGGTCTGTGGAGAGGGAGGGAGAGGAGTGAGGAGGGACAGGAGGGGGAGGGAGTGCAGAGCAAACTGAACAAACTAATGTCACGTGCCTATAGAAACGCACCACGGGGGATTTCATAAGTGTGTGGACGGACTCATCGAGGACTGATGAATGGACAAGCAAGGGCCAGATGTGCGGAGTGGAGGGGGCTGGGTGGGAGGAAGGCAGCGAGGAGCCGGGACTGAGGAGCGGTGGTCAGATTCCAGCGTGGGTGATCTTGTGGGGAGGAGCCCAGCTACCGTGTGTAACTATGATGCTCTAATAAAGGGGGAAAGGTGTCTATCCAAATGTGTGAGGACAGCGGTGACACATTGAGATGGGCTAAAACCAGCCTCCAGGTCCTGCGATGCCGAGGTGTCATGCCAGGAGGTGTTTGTGTCACACCTCCAGTGGCCACGCTGCTAGCAGAGCTGGGACCTTGCAGCACCCCCAGCTGGACTGGAGCCCTGGCGGGTGGGAACTGGAGAGCCACCTCCCTGGACGTCCACTGGGGAGACTCCACAGCACTTCCCCGCTGAACCTCAGTATGGCAGCTGACTTGTGACACAGAGGGCATTGGCCACCTCTGTCCCCGCATGTTGCTTCAGGGCCACTGTGGGCTGGAGCAGGGCTCAGGGTCAGTGGATGGCAGATGACTCGTCTCTGACGCCCTTTCTCCCAATCGCCTGCTGTGTGTCCCCCCTCAAGTCACAGGGTGAGGGTGGGGGGCTGCCTCCCAGCCCCGCGTCTGTGAACCACGAGAGGAGCAGCTGGGGTGGAAGGAGGCCAGGCTGCGGCCGCTCACACCTTTCTGGGGGCCTGGGCTCTGCTCTCTCCTCTGAGATTTTGTAGGGTGACTTGTGCTGGAACCCGTTCCACATGGTTCGGGGTGGATTCCACTCCAGGGGCTTTAACTGGTTTCCTCAAATTAGGACCAAGTCTTGGAAAACAGCCAGCCAGGGCCCCGGAGAGGCTGTGGCCAGTCAGGTTTCTCTCAGTCTTACCCCTGGATTGCCACTCGTGTTGTTCCCTTGTTCTCGCCCTCCAAATCGGGCTTCTCGGGGGAGTTCTGAGGTTCCATGGGTCTCCTCCTCTGACCAGTGGTGTCCTCTAAGAGTGGAGACAGGACACACAGTGCTGGAATCACCCTTTATCAGCTGCCAGTCTCTAAGGCCTGTGGTATGTTTCCTGGTTTGGCTGCTGTTGGCCACTGCTTTCCCCCTGGGAGAAGGCTGCTTGTTTGCATTGACGGTGTTTAAAAATCTAATTTAAAAATTCAATTGACATAATGACCATACAGACTGTGGGGTGCAGTGTGCGGTGATCAGACTGGATAACTGGCACGTCCACTACCTCAAATATTCGCCATTCCTTTGTGTTGGGAACATTCAAAATCCTCTTTACTAGTTAAGTTTTTTTTTTAAAGACTATTTTTTTCCTGCTCATTTTGTTATATATTTGCCACAGTCAAGGCTGGGAAGACCATGTTTTCCTACAATCTGTGGCTTTTCAGTTTCCTGAAGGTCC